AGACCATGTTCTGCCTCTCTTTGCGGGGAAGCACTGACGAAGTTCAGCACACTGGCTATATGAAGCAGGAGTTTCCTCACTCCTCTTTGTAGTGAGCCTTTAACTAGCCTAACACCCTCTTAGCTGGTCACCCACAGGCTCCCAATTCATTAAAGGCTTGATCACACCTCCACACCCCTCCCTCCATCAACTCGAAGATGGCTTTCATGAAACAAAACAAGTCACCACCAGATCTAACAGCAGAGATGTTGTCTTTGGTCAAACACTTGCAGGGAAAAAAAAAAAAAAAAGCTTGGATTTGATGCAAAATAGTTGCTTTTTTTGTTGTTGTTGTTTGTTTTGTTACTGTTTTCTGATACAAAGGAGGAGAATGAGGAATGAAATACCACTTACTGTGAAGAACATGGAGGTCAACCTGCACCAGAGAGACAGCACTTCCCATTTCAGTGGTAGCAATAAATGAGAAGCAAGACAATTGTGTGTACCAAGAACACATTGCACCAAGTACAATTCATTTTGCATGTGCTTTAAGTCTTCTGTTCCTTGCCAATTTAGCTGATATCCAAACAGCTGGTCAGGAATTACAGTATCAGGCTAGCTAACCATGCTAGGTTAAGTGCCTGTCTTATTTACACCCCTGCAACCTCATTTTAATTTTAATGGGGTTGCAGAGATTTAATGAGGCAGGTCAATCCATACAGTCTGGGTCCAATTAGCAATCCCAGTCAGAACCTTGATTTCCAGCAAAAATACTCCTCACATACAAAATGAGGAAGTCTCCTTGTGCTGTGACACAGCTCAGAAGAAAAACATAAGGAGAATTTGAAGGGTCTTTTATAAAAGTTATGTAAATGGCTACAGGTTCTGAAATATTTTGTGAAAAAAGGCAACCATTGCCTTCACTTCTAAAATATGACATGCAGCATAGATGACTGCATAAAAGAAGAACAAGATGCAGAAGAAAGAGGCAAAGAATAGAGAAGAGGACAAAGAGAGCTCTTCTTAAGGAAACCTGTTAAGCTCTGGTTTTCTTAGAAGGGTAAACATGAGTACACAGGTCAGTAAAAAGCAACAGGAACTGTTTAAAGCCAAAGACAAGTGAATATTATTAAAATACCGTTGTTAAGGCTGGAAAGTCTAAAGCTTCATATTGGCACTGCTCTGGAACAGCCTTTGACACAGCAGGTGAAGCAAATACAGCGAAGCCCACAGCCTAGGTTCCGAGGGGAGGTGCCCCATGACTGTAGGACACTGGCTTCACTGATCCCAACAACAGTGCCAGCCATGTTTCAGCATAATTGAGGGGTTTCTCCATATACAAGTGCTGCATTAGGTGGGGACACACCAGCTAAACCAGGCAGAGTACTGGAAATAGCACTGTACTGTCCTAGACAGCAGGCACCTGACACTGCTTTTCCAGCCCCTCCACTGTAAAGGATGGGATTCTGCCAGCTGCTTGTTGAGAGCCAGCCTGATTAATCAGGAACACTTTACATTCAAGAGGTACATGGTTAAGAGCTCCTCCCTCTACAGCAGCTGAGTTTAAGTTGCCAGTTTTCACAGAGCTATTGACTGTTCCTGACACCATACAACAGGTAGAGCATCTCCTGCTCTTATAAAAGCTCTAAGCACCCTTCACATCCAGCAGCCTATATGACAGCTGAACTGCCTAAGCAGATCACATCCAGAAACAAGAGCTTGAAGCAAGCCTAGATGGCTGAACAGGAACCAGCCTTAGAGCTACACACTGTTACAGAGTAGTTTTGGATTTTGGGGAGTAAAGGGTACACAAAAAATAGGATAGGCACATCAGAAGCACAAATGGATAATACTGTTTAATTCTCTTTAAAACACCTATGGGAGAGTAGTAAAAGCCCGATTATTTGTTCCTCCCTCCACCTCAAAAATCACAAGTAAACAGTCTAGAAATCCCAAGTTAATGCTGAAGCAGGCCAAGCTGGAGCTTACCGAGCTGCAGAAAGTGGGTAGCATTGAGCTTAAGCCATTTTCTCAATGAGCTTGAAAGCACCAAGGGCAAACATCTTTTACAGACTTACGGATTGAAACACAGATACATCAAGAGGCAGCTGTTACTGCTGCATACGGGCAGCCTTGGAAGGTCACACGGTGACATCTGCCCTGCATGTCAGAGGTTAATCTTAGGATGGTATGATGAATGCTGAGACATCTTCCACTTCTCTAGCTTGTTAGAGACATACAAATTCTGGGCATGGGAACAAACTATATAGTTAAGTCTCTCGGACAAGCAAGCCAAATCCTCTACTGTGTCCTGTCCCCATATCCTATAATCCCTTTATAGGATTTCTCCAGCTATGAAGGGCAAGTAGAACCAATCTGACCGGAGTCAAGGTAGGAGGATATTGGTTACCCAGCTAATCTCTCCAGAGCCCACTAGAGAGGAGGATAAGCTTATCTAGAGACATACAAAGTACCTCATATTTGTGCGTGCAATTTGATTTTTAAAACAGTTTTGCATCCAAGACAGGTAGGTGAATATACTGATGCAATCAACCACAGGCAGCTTGACACAGATGGTCCCCAAGAAACAGAACCAGCTTAACAGCAGGGGGTTATATTTAATGATGAGCCAGGCCATCAGTGAGGCAAGTCAGCAAGACCCCACTAAAGGTGCTGGAGACCAGCCAAGCTCAACTCAGCTCCGTATACTTTTTCCACTGGTGAAGAAGGTACAACCTCCCCACAAAGGGTCAAGATCTCTCATTAGGGGACCCAAGCATATGCCTGCAACTGCAGTAGTATCTGACCTTGCATCACCTAAGAGCTTGAGGACCCTGTGCTGGAGCTCAGTGTAGCTTTATAGGAAAGCACTCCCAAAAATAGCTGGCAGCATCTAGATATTCTGAAACTAAGCACTAGGAACTGTAATATTTGGGGAATGCAAACCAAGCTTCTAAATGCCAACCCTCATGAGGATGTGGTAACCCCTAATTGCATTAGAAAAAAAAATACATTAAGAAACTCACAGCTCAAAAGCTCCCCTCATGCTTAATTGGGGCAGTAGCATCCCTAGGCAGAAAGCCCATCCCCAAGTGGTATTTGTCCCATTTTACAAGATGTGGACTTGTGGTTCCTAACAGCAGTGAAAATTCTGGCTCACAACACTAAGTTCTAGATTGTAAGAGATTTGGACCACAATAGCTGTGCCACTTGTCAAAACCACACAGCACACCAGAGAGCACCATGTAATTTGTTTGATGGTTATCTGCAAAGCCATACCCCACAGCCAAGAAACCCCTAGCCTTCTAATGGAGTCCTCATCATTTAGGAAAGCCAGTTCTGACTACAGCCCACATTTGTCCTTAGAGCTCAGAGCGTATTAAGAGCAGAGGAAGAAAAGGCCTGTGGTTGCATAAGATTGCTCAGCAGGAGCCCAAGGAAGTCGCAGCAGTCCTGTGTCAGAGCAGAAAGATACTTTTTTTTTTTCTCTATGCAGAAAGCCTCATTAAATGAGACCAATACTCAACTGAAACTGAAATCCCCCTTATCTTCCTGTGCAGGCTTCTAAAGGAGATTCCAGAGGGCTCAAAAAACGTTTAGCCTCCTGAATCATGCCACTCTTGATAAGCGGACACCTTTTTTCCCCAGCCTGAAAGATCAGGTTTTCACACACGCACAAGCCCTTCTTCCCCTGCTGCCACTATTCCACCATCAGCACCACATCCTTGCACTGCCAGATACATGCAAGATTTAACCTGGGAAGGGGGCAAGTGCTATAGCTGGAGGTCCAGAGAGCTCATGTCAGGCTTCAAAGCCATCAGCAAGCCTGACAGAGCAGGAACTGCAGCACCTCACACATGCAGTGGGGAGGCCTCCCAAATTCTGCTGTCCTCTAAACTTAACAGGAGGAGTGAGAGTTATTGCTTCATGCAAAGAAAAGTTGCTGATGAGCTGTTGTCTATAGCACCCTACCTCTAATCAGAAAAAAAATACCATCTGGCATTCTACCCCTGGAGGGCTGCCAACCTTTGCAGTAAAAGATGAAGGCAATAGAAGGTCAAGACTAAGGAAGGGAAGCAAAACAGGCAGAAAGATTAATCCCTGCCAGGTGGTGTCAGTCCAGATTGGAGTACAAAACTGGATAGATGAGCAAGCAGAGAAGAGTAAGTAGGAGAAAAAGCAGAAAACAGAAGTGAAAATTCTCCACAAGAAAGTCATGGATAAGCTGGAGGGAGAACAGATCTGAGCTGCAGACCAGCTGCAGAATAGGATCTACTTCACCTAAACCTCTCTTGACGGGAGTTTGCACAGGCGGAATTTGCATCACTGGGTTTCAACTTTCTGAAGACAGCCAGGGAGTAGAGACTCCAAGACTGGCAGTGAGCAAAAGCAGTTTACGAGAAGAGATCCCAGAGTGTGAAGCAAGGCTGGAGGAGCCAGTAATGGGACAGCAGCTTAGCAAGTCGCTTTGAGTTGGAAGAGCATCTCATAGGGGATGCATCCTTTGCCTCTTGCAGCAGGGTCACACAGGTAGTGTAAATAGGGCATCACTTGTTCTGGCAAGGTTTCAGCCAGCTGCACGCTGAGGTAGCCATCTCATGCTGAATGTCCCCCCTACATTGCATGCAGCAAGGGTTTCAGCAGTAGGGTGGCAAGGGCTCTCCAGCTAACTGAACACGTTCCCATGGATGTTATCTGGTACAGAGGCTCTGCAACGGGTGCACACACCAGCAGTTACAGGCATACAGAGCCAGACAGCTGCAATAGCAATACCATGGCTGCTCCCTCTCCAAGGGAAAACCCCATCCCTTCCTCCACAGCCACTTGAATTTCAGGCATCCTCCATGACACTTTTTTTGTTTCCTGTACCTCTTTGAAGGGGACAGGTTGTTCAACAACTTTATTAGGAACAATAACATATGCATATAGCTACGTGCCAGACAGACAAATCAGGATGTGTCAAGGCAAGTGTGTCACTCCACATGAAACTGACTGCTTCTTAGCCTTGGGATCAGTAGTACCTTCCGACTCCAGGCGGTCCAGCCCATAGGTCTCAGCAGTACTGATCCTCCTCACAGACGGAAGAGCTGTCCTCCTGGCAGAAGATGCCACTGATGCTGGAGTTACCAGGACCATAGTTCTGCTGGATGGCTTCTCTGTCTGTCCAGAGTGGGTTGCGGACATCCCACCAGGAGCTGCAACAGCCTTCTCACTGGTGACCAGGACATCTGTGATGTCTACAGAAGACAGGAAGCAGCAGCAGTTCATCACAATATTAAAACCCCAAGCATTTAAGAACAGACTCTTCAATGAAAACTTAACTCAGAGTGGAAGATATTAAACTCTTGCCTTGCTTAAGATGTGCAAGTGACTCTGCTGTAATGAAAGCTTCCCCTCCAGGACAGCCAGTACAGGGCTTAAGAACCCCTTACTGAGAACTCAACTAGGTTTTACTTCCATTGCTTTGAAGACTGCTAGTCACCATACCATAGGAAGATCAGATCTCAACCAGTGTCTCAGTGCTTTTAACTCAGTGGCAGACCTAGTTGTTTACTGCAAAGAAATATTACAGAATCATAGAATGCTTTGGGTTGGAAGGGACCTTAAAGATCATCTAGTTTTAACCCCCTGTCATGGGCAGGGACAAATCAGTTGAACTTTTACTTAAAACCTAGAAGCAAATTAGTGGAAACCACTGAAAGAGCTCTCTCTCCCCTACAAAGTGACTGTAATTTAAGAGATACAGTGCAAATAGGTGTTTTCTTTTGATGCCCTGCAGTATAAGAATTACAAGAAAAGCTTCCCAGCAGCAGTTTATTTACAGTGGTACCTACTACTACAGAAATATCCTCATGCTCCATCAGCTTTGTGCTAAAGGAACCCTTGCTACACTCCAGGCAAGAAGACAGGCTCCTACACGTACCTGCCAAGGCGACATCAAGTCAGCAGGCAGCAGCTAACTGAATACAACTGCTTAAGCATTTATGTATGAACCACATCAACCTGAGAAGAACTCACTATTCCTCAGTAGAAGTGAAAACCAGTGCAGCCGTCCACACCTGAGGGCTTCCCAGACTCTTCCAAGAGGGTGTCTAACCCCATACTACCATTCCCACATTACCCTGATGAAACTTTCATCCTTCAGACTGAGCACCAGCAGTCTGACTGCCTTTGGCTCCAGAAGTAAAAGCTTGCCTTCCATAAATAAAAACTGGCTTAAATGTCTAAGGCTAAAAGTCAGCTTGCTAGTAAGGACTGATGTAGGAGGATTGTTTTGGGTGATTTTTTTTTTGTTTAGGGGGTGGGTTTTTTTGGGTTTGTTTTGTGTTTTTTTAACATCTCTACTCCACTTTTATGTAAGGCAAAACATATGTTGGCATATTTCAACCTGGTGGATCTGGTAGCATGGGCAGAAAGTAGTGGCAGGGCTAAAGACAGCCTGAAGAAACCTAGAAAAAAAATCTCTTAGAATACGTATGTGGTGGGTTGAGACTTCAGTGTCCAGTGATACTGGTTCCAGATGTACCACCTCATCCTGTGTGGAAATGAACTACAGTCTGTGAAATAGAACCCTACCTTCCACATCCGTAATGTCTGCCGCAGAGGAAGTACCAGCTGCCACCAGCATCTGGGTAGCACTAGGAGCAGTCACCATCTGAGTGTCCTCTCCACTGTTTTCCTGGGGAAAGCTTGCAGTTCCTGCTCCCTGGGTAGCACCAGGCACCAGTGTCACAACTAACAGAGAAGCATCAGCCTCCTGGACAACTGTTGTCACCTCCTGAGTAACACCTACAGGAAGAACATATGTCAGTACCAACTCATAGGACAGACAGCAAAAAGCAGACATTTGAAGGAATGTGACTCCATGCATTAGCATTTCCAAAGCCACAGTGCAAGCAGCAAGTCCTGCCAAGTATCATCAGGGCAGTGCAGCATAAAGACAGATGCAAGAATGCACATAACACGAATGAAAGCCGCAGAATCAGTGCTCATTTTCTTAATTGCCCTTTAGGGACACATGGGTCCACTGGGAACTAATGCCAAGAGAGTTACAGCACTGCAGGCCTATAGCATGAAATACCATTCGAAGCATGTGAGGCTGCCAGAGCAACATTTTTAGTGACCCAGTCTGGTGGCTACAAGACTTCAGGTTTTTAGAAAGGTTTATTTTTGTTGCACAAGTCTTATTGACAGTGTTTCCCCAACATCTGTGATACAGCAGAGAGGGAACCTGCTGACAAGTCAAGTGCTTATAAATTAATCTAGAAATTAATCAGTCATGATTCAGCACCAGCATGCAATTAGCTTTCTTCTACAGCAAAAGCCAGATCTTTCAGGTGCAGTGAGGGGAAGTTGTCCCTTTGCCTCTGTAGCGTAAGAGGGAAGATTAAAGATGCCCAGCAGTTAAGAGAGAGTCCTAAATCACAGCTCATGTTCCTCACCCTAGGAACACACCATTGCCCAATATCTGACCAGAGCTCTTTAGCATTGCTCTCTCTCCCCCCCCATCACCCACCAACCCCCCAAGTCATTAGCGTCACTGTCGTTAGGCTGCAGGTGCCATCTTTACAGGTAAGCACAGAAGAGGGTGACAACATCAGCCTGTGGCGGGCTGTCTAGGAGGAAGATTTCTGCCTGCTGGTAACAGATTTGGCACAAGCACTGGACAGTCAGACCCTGGCTACAGTTTGGCTCTAGGGTGGGAGGACACCACCAGGAGCTTTTGTTATGAAGCACAGCACACAGCTGTGGACAGATCTTTTGATCCGACCACCCTCTTAAAACCATGGAATATGTCAGTTACTCACAGGCTATGAGTACAGCTTGCCTATTCCTGGATTTAGGAAGCATTTACAGCCATACATTGTATCTTCTGCACTGACTGCAAGCATCCATAGCTAGCAGTGGTCCCAGGTGCTAATTAAATCCCCCAGGAATTATTCCCACCTCCGTTTTGCAGGGCTTCAGAGTAAGCTAGTGCAAGGACCCCCTTTAAGTCCTTGGACCTGCCATATGAAAGGGACACTTGAAGGAGTGTTATCCTCCTTGAAATAGCGTTTAACCAGTGGTCTGAGAGTGGGCTCCCTCCCTAGTCATACAAGAGGCATACCAGAGGGTTATTCCAAGCGCACTTATGTATCCCTGGTCAAGGCAAGACACCTACAATCAGACTACAGCTGTGCTCCTCAACCATTATGGGAAGGTCAAAGCTAAAACCCCTGCTTTGGTAGCACACCATACATGAGAACATTAACAAAGGAAATTATGTAACTAGCACCAAGTCTCTACTGATAAGACTCCAATTCTTTACAGACTCTGTACTGAAGCACACCCATCAGCCACAGGCTCAGCTACCACAGACTTACCCATTTGCTTCTACAGTCACCCTCTCTCAGCTCCAGAAACTGAAGAAACAGCTCTATGCAGTTGCTTCACATCACATGACAGGGTACCACCTAACACACTGTGCCTCCCTGTACACAGGGACATTGTGTTTAGGAATAGCCAAAGCTAGGCCATACTTTATGGATGCAATTTACCTGTTAGGCAAAGGTCCATAGCCTTTTTTAGGAAGAAGAGGTGTCCTACCTCTGCTACAGGTATTAAGAACACACCTTTCTCTATTTCATCTCCCTGGAAGGAAGCAGATTCACAAGAGCATCCCTCCTATACCTACACATAGAAGAAAGTGTCTTTAACAGGCAAGTTTTACCTTTCCATGAGCTTTCCAGAGTAGGAGGGAGATCGGACTGCATATCTGTCACCACAGCAGCCTGTGGCTGTGATGGTGGGATGCTTTTCCCCTCCTCTGCTGTGACTGTACTTGTGTTTTCCAGCAAGTTGAGATCAGCCATGTCTACAGCCGTCAGATTTGCAGTGTGGACAGCACCACCATCGCCTGTAGAAGCTGCCGGAAATTCCTCCCCAAGCACCAGCTCTGTGCAGTTGGTCTCCTTGGCAAGCTCGGAAGCTGGTGGAGAGGATGCTGGGGGTGGCAGCACTCTTGTTGCATCCTCTTCCTCCCCTACACCTCCCTGTGGTATCTGGGATGGTTCTGCTACACCCAGGTCCTCTGTCACCTCCTCAAGAGACACACTTCCCCCTTGACTTATGTCCCCCACTTTTGTGTCATCCCAGTCAGGCGGCACCGTGTCTATACCATGGATGGTGACAGTGCCAGCCATGGTGGGCAGGTCTCCTTGCCTGCCACGCATCCCTGCTTCCAGGTGGAGGGAGGCCTCAGTCACCACAGGTAGATGTTTTGCAGCCACAGATGCTCGCACAACCAGGGACTTTAGAGGGCTCCCTGTGCGGGGTCTTGGCACTCCCAGCTCAGGAGTTATGCCATGAGCCTGGGGAGTCAGGGTGACAGGATGGTCACTTGCTGTTTCCCAGCTGGGAGAGCTGGGGTACAGTGTGGGCTGGGGTGCCACTGAGGGGTATGAGTTGCTCCCTGCCTCCTCCTCCACAGCAGTCCCAGAAAGAGGGTTTGCCAAGAGGCCAGGAGAGCTGTGCTCTACTTCAACACCACCTTCTGTGGTGGTCCCACTAATGGGGCCACCAACGTACTCCTCCTGAACAGTAGGGTTCAGTGTGGTCACAGCCGTGGTCAGCATGGCCTTGAATGCATCATCCTCTTCCAGCTCTGACTTTGTGGGACCAAGCTCGTCCTCCTCAACAGAAGCCACTGCCACAGCAGAGGTATGATCACCCAGACCCTGGCTACCTGAAATGACATGGCTCAGGCTTACAGATAGCATTTCTCCTTCTGCAGTGAAAGCTTCATTTAAGGATATCCCAGACGGCTTTGCCGACACTCCAAATGGCTTTTCAGAGACAGTCTGCTCAGAGGGGCCCAGGTTACTTTTCAAGTTCAACATGCTTGTCCTTTCATCTTCAACCCCATTCCCTGCCCAGGGGCCATGCTGGACCTTTGTCACATTCCTCTCCTCCAGTGGCAGAGATGCAAGGCATGGTGGACTAGAGGACAAGAGCAGGATGCTGCAGGTGACCATGCAGATGTCAAATCCTATTGATCCACTCATAGCTGAGAAGAAATGTGCCTAGAAGCCTGCAAGGCTTACAAGTCCAGACTGCAAGACCTAGAAAGGAAAAAGGAGCAAGATTACACATACCCATAATCGACCATTGACCCAAGTAACTGGGTGACACGTTCCAAGCATGCTAGCCTATGGCCAGCTCTGGGCAGACCCCGCCTATACATCCCAAGCAATGAATCCCTTCATCTATTTGGCTATTCCTAGCCTACCCAACCTGAAGTCTTACATGAGACAAAACACTCTTGACCCGAAGACCAAGAAAGACCTTACAAACTCTCACCCCAGTGGTGTGCATTGACACAAAAGTAACCAAGGAACTCACAGGGAACAAGGTGGGTCTATAGATTGCAACACAGGACCAGAGCCAAAACGGGAGGCTTCGGGGCTTGTGTTCTGTACGAGATCCTTGGCCCCACTGAGAAAGACTACAGCCCAAACAGCAGTACTGCTGCATTAGCACAGTGTTTATCCTGCAATGCACCAGGGAGGCACGTCCAGGAAGTTTCACGTGTATAATCATTGTGTGCTTCAAGAGTTTCCAAGAGAGCACCGAAACAGTAGCCCCGCAGTGATTTAGCCAGCTGACAGTCTGCTCTTGGCAGGTTCTGCTCTCTCCAGTAATGCAGCTCAGGCTGCCACGCAGATGGACGACAGCAGCAGCCTGCTCCCAGCCACCTCCCTCTGGGCAAGTGCTTCTCGGTCCTGGGCTTGCTGCACCATCACTTCACAGATGACCACCAACCCCATCACATGCAAGACAGCTGGTCACACAAGTCTCATGCACACAGCAAACAACCATCCATCACACAGCAGATCTCTTAAGATCCTCCTCCTCCCAGATGCAGGAGTCAGCTTGCCAGTGGCACAGTCAAGCTCAACTGCAAGAAGCCCCCAACCATCAACAGTTTCACTTGCTTTGACTGGTATGTTCTAAGTTCTGCAAGTGAACTGCTCTTACCTTTGAGCCACAGGACTAGGAAATATTATTAAAGAAAGGTTGGGGTTATCAGAACCACCCCTCAGTCTTTCAAAGAGCAAAGATCACTCTCTGCAGTCTTGCTCATGGGCACCAGAATGAGTCCCCCAGCTTGCTAGACTCCTCATTTCCCTACCCAAACAGCACATGGATAAATATTACCTTCATTTGTACACACACAGTGCAGCAGCAGACCACCTAGCACTGCTTTGCTATACAAGGATGCATTATTCCTCCATGCCTTCACATGCAACCAGGTGATGCTGTGCAAGAGGTAACTGCTGTTGTGGGGAGAGGGATCTCAGTAACATCGTATTTGTTCTAGTCCAGCTAAAACAAAGGCCCTCTGCATCCTGCTGCTCATGTACATTTGTCTCCTTTGGGAAAGCGATACTGTATCTATCCAGTCAGCTAAATACAACTAAGGACACAGAAATCTTGTATGTCTGGTCACACACAGCTATCCGTGTTTCCATTATAATAGATACCTCTTATTCCACACAGAAGACTTCTCTAGCTAAAGAGCCTTATGATCTGCAGGGCTGTCTATAGCACAGAAGACAACCTCAGCACTACCAGCTTAGACACACCCAGGTCAGTCAACTACTGCAGGTTCCATTATCTGGTTGAGCCTTCAGGGCACACAGAGTCCCATTTTCCACTCTCCCTGCAGCCCTGGCCCTCAGCAGCTTGAGCTGCTGAAGTAATTCCCTGTCACAGGCCACATACACACACCAGGTGCTCAGGGACAAACAGAAGCCACCAAGAAGCTATTCACCAGCAACAGCATATACAGTTCCACTGGAGGATGGGCAACCACCCATCCATCACCTCTACCCTGCCTGCCATAAAAAAAACAAACAGTTGAGAACTGACAGTATTCAGCTACTTTCCCTTTATGTGCTTCTGTAATTAAAAAGCACTTAAGAGTATGTATTATGCAAGTTAAATTGCTACTACCCAATGACATGCATTTGCCTTGCTCTGCTGATCAATATAAATTATGTTCATCTCACACCCCTTTTCCAATGGCCAGTTAACATCAGACATATTGAAACATCAAGAACTTGTTATTTTTTAAATAAAGAACAGTTTGGATCTAGATACAGTTTCTCTAGAAGTCAGGAGTCTTTTTAGGCTATGCAAGTCGTTTTAGCAGTGGTTAAACTTAAACAGAACTCCAGCTGCACTTGAAAGCCATAGCATTTCTCTAGCACTCATACACATTGTACATAAGTATATACACATATGTATATACATTTGTAGGTTTCTAGCTCCAAGAAGCCCAAGACATCTAGGAGGTGGTTAAAAGTACCAAAATGTTAAATCTCTTCCCAACAAGCTTACTCCATCTTTATTAGGGTGAGGCATGTCAGTGAATAAGAAGGAAAGCTGCTCCCTACAAAGCTAGCTTTTAGAGATCCATTAATTAAAAACTTTCCTCCTTCTGGCTGGTAGATAACATGGGCAGTCAGTACTAGACAGATACAAGAGTTCCCAGGGTACTTTGGCAGTCTCATATTCATACCCCCAGTCTGAAAAGCACTATTGGTCATAGTCCTGCATTTGTAAAGTGTAAAAATAATGGAGAGTTATTTGCTCAGGAAATCCACAAGTAGATCTAAGATAGCCTAGACCTCTGCACTCAATGAAGACTAAACATATTGGCATGGAGCTTAGTGCAGGATAATGGCACAAGTTCATGCTTCAAAGAAGGTTAATCAGAGCTTAAAATCTACTTAGCTTTAGGATGGGACTGGATTAGACAGTATATGAACACCAGTGACCTGGTATCTTCTTAAGCAGTTTGACACCTTGTTATAGCAGTTCCACTTAATGCAAAAGCAACACAGGTTTTAGCAGATAGCTGGCTGCAGAGCACTTTGTTACTGAAGCTGCAGTGGGCTATACATTTATCCTCCCATCTGGCTGTTTTCATAGTCAGATCGCTCTACTGCCTTAGCCAAGCAATAAAAGTAAGCTGGAGCATGCTGCTCTGACCAAGCACCTCCCCTGTTGTAAGCTTAAGCTTTTTTATCACTAGCTTGAAGCTGTAGAATAACTCTGTATTTCATGCCACAGGAGTTCTTTGTAGCCAGGTTTCACCTGGCATTCTCCAAGCTGAAGCCCTGGAGACCAGCTGCCAAGCACCAGCCAGGCTCTCAGGGGAAAACTAATCCTTGTTTCAAATAGGAAGCATACACAAAGGGCGAGAGACAATGCCAGCTACTTCCCCTGCACTTAGTAACAACAAACCCCAAGAGATGCACTTCCCTTAGCTGCAAAAGCAGCACAACTGCAGACAACCAAAGAGCTTTATCTTTAGCATGGGAGGGGAGCTGGGGAGGAGGGAGTTTGCCTTTAACACCTAGTAGGCTGGAAAGAAGCACAAAGGACTACTAGGTTAAACCAGGTGACAAAACTGGGCATCTGCAGGAGCTGCCCATCAGAATAAGAACCACCTGCTACTGGGGGCAAGTGACCAAGCTGGGGCACAGTAAATATCAATTGGTCACCAGCTGAAGCAGTCTTGCAGACTCAGTTGGATCTTTCCAGTCAGGCTGCTTCCTTGCTCCATACAATTAGCACTAGCAATAGCTTTTAAAGCATTAACCCCTCTCTGAGAGCTGTTTGAAGAGTCAGCTCTTGGAAGGTCTGATAAAAGTCAGCTCAGAAGGAACCCAGCCTATTATGGTCATTCCAACAGGGCAGGCTTGAAGGGGATGAACACAGAGCAGCCCAGGCTTCTCTCGTTCAGTAGCTGCTCCCTGCATAGACCAGCACGAGTGGACACGTGCTGCAAGGTACGAAACTCTCCCCTCTGTCCCAGTTGTATGCAGCTGCTCCCTAGGATGGCTTTTAGAGTTTTGCCCTGCCCGTTTACATGGGGAAAAAGTCCCAAGAAAACCATTTACTGTTATTTTCTGCCTTGGGCAAGTTCTGGCTGTGCTTTTCAGCAAGAAAAAAAAAAATCAAGTTTTTCACTCACTTGAATTAATAACCCTGTTCTAACAATCCCTCTCCCACACAGAAAGGACGCTTGTACTCTGTAGCTGAAGCGGCTGCATGCATCATATAGCAGAGAACACAGGAGATTAACAGGTCAGCTTCAGACAAATCACTGTCTAGCCTTTGCAGAACAGAGCTTTTCACACCTCCCAAGTACAAGCTTGATTATGCCAGCTTTGTCTGGCTGAACAGTCCTGGATGTGCTCAGCTCCATATTTCATCTACCAGTTAAGGGAAATGGACAAAAACACTGCAAATCTTCTAATGCAAAGATTTAGCCAAAGCATACAAGTCAAGCAGCAGCCAGCAGTCAAATGCTATGTTACCAGAGTGCTAATGTATACTACCCAAGCCTTACTACTTGTGCTGAATACAAAAGCCAGCAGATAATACGCTGCAGAGCTTCCACTCCTACTTTTGCACACAAGCTGAGAAAGAAGCTTTCATTCTGTCCTTGCCCTGTTCGATCAAGTGAATTGTAGAGCTGATGCTCTTACAGCACTTACTGCAGACAAACAGACCTCAACCAGTTAAGCCATCTCTAACAGCTCGCAGTGAAATCCCAACAGTGACATGACTCAGGCTGTATTGGTGGGTGGTGTCAAGTCGGATGCGCAAACCTAGACACAACTACACAGAGGAGCACATCTTCCTCTACTTTGAGGATAGTCCCTATACAAGCAAACAAATGAGGACACCTTCCTACCAGTCCTAGTGAGGCACCTTAATACACAATAGATCACCTCCACCTCCAGCATTGGCATTCCAGAAGTAGTTCTTTGAGAAGCAAAAGACATGACATATTGTAGACATTATTTCTCTAACCACTAAGTAATCACCTACTTAGTTCAGAACAGCACAGACCATCTATGCGAATCCCTACTCAGATTTGCAAGTAAAAGCCATACTCTAACCCATGCCAGGTCCCCTGCACCACAAGTCAGAGGTCTACCAAATCCCTAAGGGATTAAAAGGATTGGGAGGAGGGGCATTTAAGAAC